AACCAGTAGTAGCATAGCACTTTAAAAATTTAAAATCTATTCTCTAGTCAGTGCCAAGTATAAAAAGAATTTATCACTCTTCGACGTATTTACAAGTTAGGCTTTGCCACACATTTTCCTTAAATGAAAAATGAAAGGCATTCTGCTTCTGGTGCCTTGGTAAGTTAGTGGCTATATTAACTTAGTTTGTTGTACAGGTCTGATGTTGTTTAAAAGGTGAAGCCAATGAGATAAGCCTGGGAGCTTATTTTCCCCATATTTATAACTTTAACTGCTGCTTTACCTCGAAGTATTAGAGCAGACAGTTCATTACTACCTGAAAAGGGCTACTACATTGTATGTGAGGAGGTCATCTGAAACTGATGACTTTTAAAGGTCATATACAAAATGAATTTTGGCTTTGCTGAAAGACTCTCCTTTGCACAGTAAAAATCTTATTTTAACAGTAGCTGTAAATGTTGTGTAAGTAGAAATGAGAGATTTCAGCTACCTTTACCTACTTTCACTTTTCCATAAATTTTCTTTTAATCCAATGCGAATACTCATTTATGGTGATGTTAAAAGTCACTTTGCTCTGGCTCATTATTTGAATGATGAATTGATAGCTTCTATGCTTTTGTTTCATTTTTACTGTTTTCATAAATCTCCTGTTACATATATACTTTGATAATGGAAAGGAACTTTTTCCTTACTTCTGTAACACCAAGGAGCTCAAAGACTGCAAGATTTGTGGATGTTGCAGACTTGAAATTGGACAGATAGGCTGCAAAATAACACAATGAAAGATGTTTCCTTAGTGTGTAACTTCAGCAATTTCCCCCATTTTTCCTCTCTAAGGCTATGTGAAATTTATGGAATGTCAGATCATACCTGGTATACAAGCAAACATATACAATCTACTGCTTTACTTCCCTTGTGGTCACATACATACAAACATTTTTGTTCCAGTGGATTCCCGCACTTGAATCCTTACCACATAATAATGGCACTTAATTAAAACACCTAAATTAGAGAGTCAACTCCCTCTATAGTCAGTAAAGAAAGACTGTCACTTCCAGAGAATGACTTAGATTTTTCCCATTATTTTCCTCACTCCTTTTTCAAGACCCATTGTGTAGCACAAATCTGGACTAACAAATAGGCACTGGTTAGATTGGGACCACTAAATCAGGGGGGAGAAAATATTCTTACATATACATGTGCTATCTTGAAAGGACACACAACAATACAAAAGCAAACCAACTTTAACCTGTTCCAGGGATGCTAACTGCAGGATCTGTACTTTAGGTACTTACCCATGCTAGGAAGAAAGGAGGAAGTAGAGGGAGAGGGCTGTTTAATCCAACTAAGGAATGTACTTCAGGTCCTACATAATGCATACAGAGTTTAGACAAGCGAAAAAACAGTCCAGCCCGCTGAAGGTGGAATATGACGAATCATAAACCAGGAATGGCAGGACATAAGGAGTAATGTTTGCATTGCACTCAGCCATTATATTTAAGGGGCAGCATATATTCACTGATATAAATTGTAGGTTTCTGTGGTGCAGGATGAATTTTACTTATACAATGAACAATCCACAATTACAAAAGCCTTGGGACAGTGGATGATGTTTGATCTTTGTGATGATGCTAAACTGGCTACTATAAGAAGCCAGTAAAATGATCAAGAAGCCAGAACAGCCACAGAACCGTGTCTCAAACAGCTCTGAAATACATAAGGCTATGTCTGGACCAAAGTTAGTCCTGAGAATATCATACAGATAGTATAGTGTAGCAAGTCTAGGGGGTTACATAGGGATGCAGATTTCTTTGAAAACACCCAGTAAGGCTTCTGCCAATTGGATGTCATCCCATTTTGGAACATATGGATGCGGTCTCTCCTTTCCTGGCAGGTGCTGCCTGAGCACACTTGCCCAGCCCACTTTGCAGTTTTGTTTGGCTCATGCCTTTCACATTGGTCTTTCTGTTGGCCAGTTCCCTTCCAGGAAGGTAATTCTTGGACTATATTTGCTGCACCTGATCAAGAGCTGGCACCTCTGTGCCTTTCTAAGTGTTGCAATAAACCTGTTCCTGTTCTGGCAGTCTATCTCACTTTGAGGCTAAAATACAGCATCCCCACAGAATTCTTTGCTCAGCCTACATTGAAGAGATTTTACTATGGATTCTCTGAAGGGCAGTGGTGACAAATGCATAAGCTGCCCAATTCCATGCCAGTCATGACACAGGAAGGTACCTAAAGCACATTGCCCCAGTGGGCATGTACTCCATATCTCCATACCCCTATGGAGATAGCACTGAAATTCAAGTCACTTTTGAGCATTTCTCTCTATTTGCATAAAGAGAAGCTTTGGCAAAGGACAGATATGACTGCCACAATCTATCAGATATTTGGACCTATGAAATGCTACGGTTTTGTGTAACTATAAAGCTTACTGGTATCTAAAGGTCACAAAGTGCCAAGCAGCTGGATCACATCAGCTTTCACTGTGTGGATTTGCCTCTATAGGGTTAGAACATTACAGCTTCAAAACAAAAGTGCCCAAATCTCTCTCAGTTTTTCATATAATGATTTGAAAGTGAGACAAAGAAGAATGTTAAACTTCTGGAGAATGCCTTATCTTACTCCATTTCCACTGACATTTCTAAACAAGTATTTGGATAAGCTTTCAGTATGCACAAAGAATTGAATTAAGACAATTTTTTTATGCCTGCTGATATTCATGCAAAGTAGAGAATGGAGTCAAAACACAAACTCATCTTTAATGCCCAAAACTCTGTCTAAGGAAATAAGCAGAACCTTAATTTTAATAGCACAAAACCTCTTTGTTTCCAAGCACCTCTGATCAAAGTTCTGTAGCTTGTACAGAAATAAGTAAAAGACAGAGACAAAATATCTTAGTTTTAATTCAAATAGCTGAAAAGAAAGAACTATAAAATTTTTCATTTCTCCTGCAGAGTCCAGAAAAATGTGACACACGATCCACATTATACCCACCACATAAAGAAATTTTAACTTAAGGAGGTCCTGAGACACGTGGCAAAAAAAAGTTAGTTTCAAACTACATTAGCATAAAATTGATAGGCCAAAATGGAGTTGAAGGGTGATGTTCCATTGAAAGCTGACGTTCCATTGATAGACCCAAATGGAGTTGAAAGGTAATGTTCTCTTTCATGACAGCACTTATTCATGTTAGGAGAGGAATATCTACCCCACAGAATGTGTAATAGGTCTATACAGATAGACATGTGCCTATCTAAAGAATTCTCTCTGAGAACAAATCCACCATTCAGAGTGATGTATGAAGACACTATCAGGGCTTTAGAATTGGTTGCTTCTAGTATTTCATAGCTAACTTTTTGCACAGTGTGTCATTAATATGTGAAGAACTTTATCTATGCATATACAGAGAGTGGGTTCTCATTTTACACTTGAAATGAGAAGATCATATTCAAAATAAGATCTTATATCTTTCTTTTGCTATCAAATCAGCACTCAGTGATCAAAATCAGCACCCAGGGACAAGAGTAAATTAGAAGTTATCTAGCTCACTACCTTGAGAATTTATGTCATAGCTGCTAGTCAAAAATTCCTTTTAAAAGTTTTGGGAATACAGTGATCATACTGCATCTCCATGTAACGGACTTTTCAGCCTCAATTCCTTGTTTCCCCTTTCCTCTCCTTTTTGAGCAAAAAGCAGTGCCCAAGAATTATGAAAGGCTTATGTTGAGCGACTTAAACCTATTGCTTCTTGAAATAATTTCTGACAGTGACACAGTGTAAAAAACCAAGTTAACAGAGGCTTTGATGGAACAATCACTGTTTACTTTTAGAAGGCAAGCCCTACTTCATGAACTATGAAATTTTTTGTACAGTCATATACAAAGAATGTTATTTTATCTATACTCATGTGCAATTGCAACAACATGGATCTTTTGCCAAAGTTCCCATCAGTTTTCTGGCCAAAGGTTAGTAAGGTGGAACTTTAAATAACGGACAGCCTTCGTCATATTCTTAGTCTTTCTTTTCCCTTCAATTGGTTAGTAACACAAAACACGTCTGTTTCACCTTCAGACAAACTGTGACATTGCACTATCATGCTCAAGCAACAGAATTTTTGGGAATATGTGTTGTGACCTAAAACTTACTTCTTTGACTTATTGAGCAGCACCTAATAGCCAATTACTACACAGATAATTTAAATAAAAAACAAACCCTTAAGCCAGGGAAAAACCTGAAATGTCCATAATGCCCTCTGAATGACTGCTTGCTTTGTTCTACACATTGACTGTGAGATAGGAGAAAGACATTCTGAAGAGTATAAGACTTTGACAGAAGTATCCTGATGCATATTTCATACAACTAGGGAATCCAGGCTACCACACAGAATACCTAACAGCTTGCGAGACATGAGAAAAAGATACAGAGCAAGCATGAGCATGTCAACACCAGTGTAGGATAATTCTTTTTTCAATATGGATAGTTTAGATATTTAGAGTCACATCATTTGCTGTGCTTAATTTTGACAACACTTCAGTAATATCGAGTGGGACTTAACAGCTGGATTTGGTGTTTAAAAACTAAAATACCATTACTTGTTGTCTTGGAAACCTGGTAGTTTTATTGTTGAATTTTCTGTTTACTCTTATTTAAACTCCAAGTCATACAAATAAATTATGGGTTTAGATTGACCTTTATCTCATGTTTTGAATTTTGCATGTAAACTTGCTCAGTGTTTCAATATATTTGAACAAAACAACGGTGTTGAAATGAAAACATCACTTGACTGAAGTTGATCTATAATTGTGAAGAAAGAAAAGCATACTAACAAACATAAAAATGACCCAAAATCTAATTTTGGATGTAATGATTTACTGTGATTCTGGAGTCACGAAAATGCTTAGATGTGTCTTGGATCCACACATAAAATCTACAGTGGTTGAGACTGATTTTTAGCATGGGCTGATCTCAGCCAGGCAGAGATCACAGATTAGACTGTAGCACCCAACCTCTCTCATTGCACAGATTAGGCCAGAATCCCAGTTTGGATCCAGGTTTCCTCTCACAGAACCTGCAGGAAGAAAACAGGAAAATTCCTACATCTGCTCAGCCTTAGTCACCCATCCCCCCTCTAGCTATTCATCATTTAGATAATGTTTTCTCTAAATCATTCCTATTTTATGCCTATCAATGCCATGTAACATTGTAGATCTAAGCTTTCATCTCTCCTTACTTTGCTAGCCAACATAACACTGAATAGCAGAGAAATAAAGATGTTTACACAGAAACAGAATTCACTTGGTTTTTTGTTTTGTTTTGTTTTGTTTTGTTTTGTTTTGTTTTGAGTATAGAGCTGAACATGATTTCGGTATAGCAAAGAAAAGCCCACACACTCCTGACATCATTTCAGAACTGATTAAACAACTGGGTATTAGTGAAAGCAGGATGTGGTCCCAGGATGAAGTTTTAACAAGGCAATTTTAGTAATAACTTTTTATTCATCTCCTCTTCATCTCTCACTTAAGAGATTCTCCAAAGATCATTTAACACCATAATCTGCTAACCACTGTCATTACCATGTTTTTCTGACCTTCATTCTTCCTTTTTTATTTTAAAATAGATGTAGAAATACAGATATAGTAGTCTAAAGTAAATTTTTTATTTAATATTTCAGTAACAATTCAGACTTCTACGACTGCATGCATCTGGTTAGGAACTGGAAAAGTAGAGTGGTATGCATTAGACAACAGGTAACAAATGGAGAGTGTGTTAAGGCATTTTCTCATCCTGCTCTGGGAGTAAGGAACCTCTTAGGGCACTGAATACAGAAGATTCAGTCTGTGAGTGCTGGTCCATCCCTTTCCCAAATGAAAATGGGATGTAAAGGAGGGTCTATCACAAATATCAGGAGCATAAAAACAGTCATTTTGCACGATCCAGGTTATCAACATACTTACAAAGAGAGGTGTCTTTCCTGGATTAGGGTGTAGGACAGGATGAACATAATCAATAGCAGCTGGTCTGGAAAATGAGAACCCTCGTCAAGGTAAAGCAAATATAACCACAGCCTGCAGGATATGTGATGCATATTTTCCACCCTCCCCAATCTTTCCAAGGCCTCATCTGAATCACTATGCAATAGAAAGCACAGTTCAAGGAACTGGAAAATGCGAGCCACAACAAAAGGAGTTTAATCACAAAAGAGGAAAAGACAGGAGAGATAATTGCCAAGTTCACAGACAGCAAACAAAAGGTACTAACTCTGCTACTGCCATTTTTTACTAATGAAACAATACTTGCATCTAGAAATTTCATGTACAACTTGTACTGCTAAAAGTTCCCAGTCCCCCACCTAAGTTTTCAAACATGTTTTCAAAAGAAGGTATTGGTCAATAATATCTGTTACTTCTTTCAAGATGTTTTGCAATAAAGGAATGGAAGTAACCAAGGAAAAAGAAGCTGCTCCTGGTTTGATTAACAGTACACTGAACAAGGGCGTATTACATTCTTCTCTTTGAAAATTTGCAACAATAAAAGTAGATCATCAGCTAAACAAAGGTAAACTACAATTTTGTACGACCACACTTACAAAAATCAAAGGTAATTTTGGTGAAGCCAGAGACCTAAATCAAAGCACTACTGTGATTTTACATTCTCATAAAATGTATTGCCTGCAGTCCCTAACTATTTTCTTCTGGAATTTTACATTAATTAGCTCACATCCTGCTTATAGTATCAAAGTATTTCCATGCTTTGATAAGTCACAGTTGAGATGTCAGGGGTCATTGCTCCTTGAATGAGCCACATAGATGTAAAAACAGTAATTTTGCAGGGGGTTAGAAATCAGGGAAAATCTTACCTCACAGGAGCTACTAAAAAAGAAGGCAGCGTAGGTATGAATCATGTTTCCTGAGGGTATATCCCACTGTTCTTTTCTCTGGTTCCATCAGTAGACCAGGTCCATTCTCCACTTCTCTCAGACATCACTACGGTTGCCAGAGATCACTATAGTTACCAACTACAAGTGATAGTTTGTCATTGGTTTGTTTTACGGCTTCTCTTGGTCCTTAGGTTCAAAAAATCAGTTACAGAAGGACAAAACAAAATTACAAATTCATAGATCATAGACTTGTTTAGGTTGGAAAAGATCTTTAAAATCATTGAGGACAATCACGGCCTGCTTGGCCACCTGGACACACTGCTGGCTCATGTTCAGCCAGCTGTCAAACAGTATCCCCAAGTCCTTTGCCACTGGATAGCTTTCCGGCCACTCTTCCCCCAGCCTGTACTGCTTCATGGGGTTGCTGTGAGCCAAGCGCAGGACCCGGCATTTATCCTTGTTGAACCGCATACATGTTGGCCTTGTCCCATCAATCCAGCCTGTCCAGGTCCCTCTGCAGAGCATTCTTACCCTCCAGCAGATCAACACTCCCACCCAACTTGGTGTCGTCAGCAAACTGAATGATCCCCTTGTTGAGATCATTGACAAAAACATTAAACAGAACTGGTCCAAATACTGAGCTCTGTGGAGTATCTCTTGTGACTGGCTGCCAGTAGGATGTAACTCCTTCACCACCACTCTCTGGGCCCAGTCATCCAACCGGTTTTTACCCAGGGAATGGTGCAGCCATCTAAGCCGTGAGTAGCCAGTTTCTTCAGAAGAATGCTATGGGAAATGGTGCCAAAGGCTTTAGTAAGGTAAACAACATCCACAGCCCTTCCCTCATCCACTAAGTGGGCCAGTTTGTCATGCAAGGAGATCAGGCTGGTCAAGCAGGACTTTTTACAAACACATGCGGGCTGGGCCTGATCCCCTGGTTATCCTGTATGTATGTGCTGTATGATGGCATTCAAGATGATCTGCTCCTTAAAGAGGTCAGATGATAGGCCTGTAGTACCCTGGATCCCCCTTCTAGCCCACACCACCAAAGGATGTGTAGGGCTATTACTTCTATATGTCAGCAGAATATTTCTGCACAATATGTTTTCTCTGAATAGGTAGGGAAAGGAAGTTTGGAAGGTAGATGGCAATAACAGATGAAATGTCTAACTGCCCAGCACTCTTTTTATGGATAATGGATGTCTGTGTAGTCCTTGTCTAATCAAAACACTTTGCTAGTTGCAGGCAATGGATGGTTCCTTCTGCATTTGTAAATTTTAGATAATAGGCTTCTAACATTCACACACTCCACTTCCACTTTTTCTCTGGGCTCTGCTAGAGCTCACATTAACATTTTAGTTAACCTGCTAATCTCTTAGCACAAACACAACAGGCCACATTAAACAAACAACAGATGGAAATGTGAGAGAATAATGGCTACACAGTGTAAAATACCCTGCCATCAGCAATGACTCCTATTTATCTTTAGTAATAGTCCTTCCAGAGTCATTCAAGTTTCCTCACAGAAAGGAGGAAGGCATTAAGTTCTCAAGAATTAATTTAAATCCATCTAGTGAGAACTGTGGGGTTTTGATATTCAACACTGTACACTTTATTTTCAACAGTTCATACTTACTGTAGACCGGCTGCTGAAATAATTCCCTTTGTTGCTGTCTTTGGCTACTGGATCATCGGAAGGACATTATTACATATTAGTGGTTTGCACTATCCCTGGCACAGCAGTCAGGGAGAGTAGCTGCACTCTGTACATGAGGTGGTTTTCTGCAACCCAGTGGTGAAAGGTTCTTTGTGGATGCTTCTCCAAGACCACAGCCAATCACCCAGTGGTGTACCAAGACACCCTGTGAGAATGTTCATTGATGCCTATGGATTTTTTGATTTTTAGCTTTTTGTAGATTTTAAAGTAGCTGTATTATATCCCTCACCCTTTATCACAGTAGTTTACACATCTTCCCAACACTGTTACCCCATTCCATATCACTCCCTCAAAATTCTGTTAGCTTGTTTAGACTTCCCTCAAGGTAGGCCTTCATTCTGTTTAAGAATATCTGCACCCTGGCCTGGAAAACAAGATACCGCGCAGGCACAGCAACCTTCAAATCCAGAACTTTGGAGGAGCTCCAAAGACTGAATGAGCTATGATGAAGAGGAAGATGGGGAAAAGGGGGTCCCAGAGCCCCTGCTATGGCTTTATTAATATAATAAATAAATAAACCCATATGACCCGGCTGGTTGGGGGTTCAGCAACCAAATCCTTTTACTGGAAGCAAACAACGCCTTTTATATGCACTTCAAAGCAACACCTGACTCCCTTGACCAATCACCGTGGGGTATCTCACTGTCCATGTCTATTGGAGTACATTTGGGACTACATCTCCCAGGATGCATCATCTAGCAACCCTAAAAAATATTCCCCACACCCTGCCTCAATTTCCAGAGGGGTGTGCCAGGGGGAGGTGCTGGGGGGTGGGTAGATCTGGGATTGATTAGGATAATACCTTAATTTGTGGAACTCCATGGACACGAGAGACGTGTCATGTGTATTCCTGTGGGCCTCAGGCCTGAAATTAAAGGACCTACTCTCTTTATCTTATCTTATACATTAAATTGGCTCAGAGTCCTGTTTTCTGTGGTCTCTTAAGGCAACATCATGCAAAGGAAAGCAAAGGAAAGAACAGCAGAGGTTCAGCTTACAGGCAGCGAAACAGCCAGGTGAAGTTCAGGGAAAAAGTTGTCTTCTGTTTGCATATTCTGGAAAACTCCTTAGTAGACAATTGCTTGGCAAATGGATGCTATCAGCTACTCTGGCTCAACTGGGTAAATATCTGGAATTCAGCCATTATATTAGGAATATCCTCTCTCCAGACAAGGTGCGCCAAATCAAAGCTTTAGAGACTCCTAGAGCAAACATGTCAGAGTTGGCTATCGGCTGACAGTTCCATTTGCCACTGTGTAGAGAACTGCAACTATTTTTTCTCCAGTGATAAATGACAGATCCATTGCTTGAGCATACACCAGCGCATAAATGACACAGTTAGTTCATCAGTCATGGTTTCTGCTCCACCTCAAAATCCTTTTCTACAGGCCTTCAAGAGAAGGTGGCAAATGGCTAACAGGAGCTCACAATTGATAATCCCTAAATTAGCATTCAGCTAAATTCTGGGTGATGGCCGGTGTGCACAGGACTTTTCTGGAAACTGTTCCATGGATACCAAAATATCAGCCTGGTAAGAACTCCACAGATTCTGAGATTCTTCTAGACATATTCAAGGAGAAAAAATTACATATATCTGATCATTAAGCATCGATATCAAAAGTCTCCACACAAAAATAAAATTATTTTAAAACTAAAAAATATATCTGAGTTAGTGAACACTGCACAAGCCTTGCTTAGGCTTTGCTGTGGTGACAGTAGTGACTGGCATACCTATCAGTTATTTTGGACATGTCAGGACATTAAAACTGGGATCTAAATACTGCTGAAATTACTACCATGGGCACAGACACAGAGCTGGAGTATTTTCTGGCACGCCACAGTGAACCATGGAAATCACAAGCTTAATCAAATTCCACACAGATATGGTTAGTTCAGGATGTAGTGCCAGAAATCTCAGATTCAATTCTCTCTTCCTATGACTGTGTCCCTTCCTATAGCAGTTCATTACTCAGATTCTAGTGACATTTTTATTGATTCAGAGACAAAGGATTAGTGACAGACTGCTACAAATTCTTCTGTCCCTGACATGTAATTATTCCTGAAACAAACTAATAGCTTTCATTTATCTAGAATAAAAATTTTGAGAAAAAGAACTCAATCACTTAAAATGTGCCTGTTAGTCCATCTTCCTCTTGTTCTGATATAATTAAGAGATAATGTCAGTGGAAGAGATGCTTGCTGTGGGACCCACTACAAGATATATAGCATGGTATTGATCACAAACTTCAAAACAAAGTAGTTATTTTCAACATGAATGGACAGTTTTTGAGAATTGTTTGTTGCTAAATCTTTAACTGTCCTCCTGCCTTCTTTTATTTCTTGTGTAAAACAGACTCTAAGTTAAAATTACTTGATAATGCAATACAATTAATTTCCAAGCTATAAAATAAATCAGAAAATAAATCAGACTTCTTCTTTTTTCCCCCAGAAAAGCCTTCACTTTCTTTAAGAAGTTTAGTTTTTTTCACACTGAAAACTTAAGCGAGGGGATTACTCATAACACATATTTTTTAGTAGAGTTTCATTGCATTAGTATACTAATTTGGAATGCTTAATGACACCAATTACACAAAACCAGATGCTTAAGTGAACATTATTTCATAAACACTCATTTTAGTTTCCCACAGAATGTATGTATGTAATATAGTTTTCAGACAGGAAAGACTATTTTTAATCTAGTAGATAGCAAAGAAAAAAAAAAAGCAAGTATGTAGCAGTATTCTTCTGAGAACAAGTGATCAAAGGGTATGGGTAGAATATGCTATTCATTTATAAGGATTTAAGACTTGAGGTATCTTGTAATGAAAAAATAAAAACAGGGTAAAAAATCTTTTTTTTTTCATTTTTATAGTATTTTTGCCCTAACGCCTTGCTTTTTTCAAGCTGTTGTATGTTTTGATACTTGAATCCGCTCCTGATAAAATTATGTGAAAGGGTTTTCCATGCTACAATAGCACTTTATGCCCTCAACTGAACAAGCCAGAATGGTAGAAGACAGATGCCAAGAAGTAAGCTATCTATTTGCAGAACACAGGAGAGGGGGTACTTGTAATTTCTCCAGATGTAACTGCAGTGTTTGGTATCCAGACTGATAATAAAAAGAAAAAAAATCTTTTCACACTTGACACTCATACAAATCGACCCTGAATATGAGAGCCATAAAAACAATGCTGACTTTTATCTAAACACATTAGCTGAATGTAGAAGACTTTGTATTGCAACACATATTTAATATAACCACAAAACATACACTAAATAAAATTGATCCAAGGAACTAGAGAAAGTATCTACAATGTGCAATGACAG